ATTCCTGGGGTCGCTGAAGGTACAGAGACTGTGGTCTGAGCAGGAGCCTCACTCCATATCAATCTGCTGGAACTTCAGGCCATCCACAAGGCATGTCGTGCCTTCCATGACCATATCAGACACGCAGTGGTTCACATACTTACCGACAATACCACCGTGATGTACTATGTGAATAAGAAAAGGGAGCACACTCCAGGGCGCTCTGCCTAGAGGCGATGAATCTGTGGCAGTTTTGCACTGAGGAGAACATTACTCCTGCAGCCGTCCACTTGCTCGGGGTACAGAATCATCTTGTGGACCATCATGAGTGGTCCCTGAAGATAGCTGTCCTGCGGGTCATCTTCGCATCGTGGGGCATTCCCACAATCAACCTGTTTGCTATAAGGGAGAACAGGAAATGTCGCCTGTTCTACTCTCGGGGCAGGGGCTTCAGTCCAAGCTCCCCCTCCGACGCTTTTCACTGCAGTTGACAGTCAAATATCCTATACGCCTTTCCGCCATCCTGATAATTTCTTAGGTAATCATCAAGCTCAAGGCAGATCAGGCCAAGCTCAGTCTCCTTGCCTGGGCATGGCTGAGCCAGTGTTGGTTCTCCGACCTTCTCACGCTGTCAGTTCAGCCTCCCATTTTGCTTCCTCTCCATCCCAACCTGCTCACTCAGAATCACGATTGCATCTCTGCTCCCAACGTCTCATGGCGTGGCTGCTGCATGGTTGAATGAATAAGAAGAGCAGTGCTCAGTGGCTGTTCCACTAGTCCTCACCTGTAGGAAGTCCTCTACCAGGATGGCCTACTTAGCGAAGCAGAAGAGGTTTTCAGTGTGGTCTTTGGCCCACATGATCCAACCAATGCAGACTTCTATCCAGGACATCTTGGGGTACCTGCTACACCTTCAGAAGTCGGGTCTTGCACTTAGTTCATTGAGAGTGCATCTGGCAGCAGTATCTGCATTTCATCCCCATGTACAGGGAAAAATCAGTCTTCCCCAATGCCATGGTGATGAGATTTTTGAAAGGGCTTCTACATCTACATCTACATCCTCCGCTATGAGAGCCAGTCCCCTTGTGGAACCTAAACACTGGCATCTTGTCCACTGCCCCTTTGGTGTCAGAAAACCGAGTTCCTGATAGCGATTATGTCCGCATCGAGGGTGTGAGAGTTGCAGGCTCTGATGGCAGGGTCTCCTTACACACAGTTCTCTAAAGACAAGATGACTTTATGACCACACCCTACATTTTTGATTGAAGTGGTTTCTCAGTTTCATTTGCACCATGCAGTGTATTTACTTGTGTTGTTTCCTAAGCTGCATTCATCTCTAGAGGAGCAGCCTCTACACACCTTGGATGTCAGGTGATGTGTAGCTTCCTATCTGGATAGGACTGAACCATTTCATGCTTCACTTCGCCTGTTCGTGTCATTTGCAAACCGCATGAGGCAGTCTCTTCACAGGCCATCTCTAGACAAATAACATCCTAGATCAAGACTGCATATGAAATAGCTTCGGCTGTGCCTCCTCAGCGAACGCGAGCTCCTTCAACAAGAGCGCAAGCAACGTCAATAGTGGTCCTCGGTGACATTTCCATATTGGATATTTGAAAGGCTGCCACATGGTCCTCTATCCGTACAGTTACAGGCCATTATGCCATTACTGCATCTTCCCGACTGGATGCCAACTTCAGAAGGAGATCCTTATTTCCGTAGACTCCGAGCTCCACCTCTTGGGAGGGGTACTGCTTGTAGGCCACCTAAGTGGAATACACATCTGCATGTACTCGAAGAAAAAGGAATGGTTACGTATTCTAACTGTGATTCTTTGAGATGTAATGCAGACATGTATTCCATGACCCACCCTCTGTCTCCTCTGCATCAGAGTCCCCTCTCATGGGTGTTCAGTGCAAAGGAACTAAGGAGGGGGTCAGAGCAGCGCTGCCACATATAGCCAGGGGAGGGGGGCTGCAGCCACAAGGCGCAAGCATCACCCCTCCACGTGTATCGCTAGACAAAATCTCCAGCTCCAGCGTGCTGGGCACGTACACACTTAAATGGAATACACATCTGCATCACATCTCAAAGAACCACGGTAACAGTAAGTAACAGTTTAATATTTAGCATTGCTCTTAAAGTAATACCAAGTACCCATTGACGCATCTTTTACTGTGTCATGAAACGTTTGGGGGGAGTCACTTTCTTGAAATTGTTTAATCAAGAGAGAACCAATTATTCCACCTGCACAATGTTCTGCTATGTTCTCAAGAGGCACCAGATTCTCTTACAGTAAGAACCTGAAGACCAAGGAACTCTTTAGAAGTTGGAGGAGTCTACGTGCTCATGTTGTTGTCTATTAGATTGTGCACAGTAGCAGGCTACTTTTAAATGAGTGTCTAATAAATAAGACCAGCCGTGAAATAAAGTTACTGAGTTTCTCACTCACTTTCCCCCCTTTTTCCACTATTTGTTCATCTTGTCTCTGTGCTTCTGGTCAGTCAGGAATGTTTTGGTAACATGCTTTCACCAGAGCAATAGCTGAAATTGAAACCTGGAGTATTTTTACTGCATATCTCTTCTTCTCATCCTGATGGTGAAACTTGCATCTAAAGCAGTCAGAAATCAGGGATGTGAAGGAATCTGCCTGTGTTGTGTAATTAGCTTCTTCCTGCAGAATTTGCTCTTTTCTGCAGAAATTAAGCCTTCCTAAGGAAATATATAAATAAAAGCCATTTCTGGTAGCCATCACAACATAATCCATCCTGTCTTGAGTTTGCATCTAGACTGATTTAGGAACTTGTGCCTGAGGTCCTGAACACAGCAGGCTAATTGCCAACACTTAAATATTAAGAAAGTTAACTACATCTCTGCTGGCCAGTCTGTCAGTAGGCCTATCAAACAGACTTCCCCAGCACAGCTAAAATTTTCTGATGTTCTGTTTGTTTTAACAGATGTGCCACTGAGAGACCGTTCTTAGAACTCACTATCACCAGTTAGAGCAGTTTACTAGAACCTGCAAACAAGCGGATCCAGAAGTATTTTTGACTTGGAGCAAACAACCCCCCAAAAGACTGGCCAGTTCCATTCAATGCACTATAATAAAACATGTTTAAATGGACATTTAAACCTTACTTATCTAGATTAAAACAAATATATTAAATGCATCTGTAGTTCAGTCAGTCGGTGTCAAATTAATGACTATACAAATAATTGAATTTGAATTTTCTGAAGCAAAAGAGCAATCTTTTCAGATCTATTTCACCCATAGAAAACAGAGATAAGTCCTTAGTTTCTCTCCTCAAATTGCCCCTATTTACAACCAAAATGAACTGATGAGAGAGGCGCATTGACAGGTGCCTAAAAATTAATTAGATGGTACCTCGAAAGGGCACTGAAAAAATGTTGAAATGTATTTGAGTAGTAGTCTGAAACTCAGATCCTGCAATAAAAATAATTGCATTTAAATTATATTCAGAATTAAACACTCTTCCAGAAAAGTCTCAGAAATCCTAAAACTTCTTTTCTTTATTAATTTCCCAAGCAAGAGCATTTGCATTGCTATTTAAACTCAAAGCCAGGTGAATACACACCCAGCTTTGAAATCTCTCAGGTGTTGCTAAAACTCTCCAAGAAATAATCCCAAATCACAGGAGTTTGCATTGTTCCTCTTTTCCCTAGTATTGTAAATGTTATTTGCCAAAAACAAATTGAACTGGTTCATGTTAATATATCAGTCAGGGAAAATGTAAATACATATATAACCAGAGAGAAAAACCTCAAAGGATTCTTGGGAATCTGATTAATCTGCTTGTCACCTAGGCATATTTATAGCATAACTTTTGATGTCTGGTTTCTCTGGAAGGTTGAAAGACGTGCACTTTATAGCCCACCTGCTGGGCTCCTCTCTGTTGTGATGCTCTCATTATTAATCATAGACTGATTGGGTATGACTACACTGCAAAGAAAGACCCACAGCACGGACTGTCAGAACCTGGGTTATTTGTCTCGGGCTGACAGGCTAAGAATAGCTTTGTAGATATTCAGGCTCGGGCTGGAGCCCAGGCTCTGAAACCCAGCCAGAGGGGAAGGTCTCAGAGCCTGGGCTCCAACCCAAGTTGGAACGTCTACACTGCTGTTTTTAGCCCTGCGGCCCAAACCCCACAAATCCAAGTGAATTGACCTGGGCTCTAAGACTCGGTACCATTCTTTGCAGTGTAGTCATGCCCTTTGAGTCCAAGAGATTAGTAGGATTCAAAAAGGGATAGACTTTTATATGGATAATGAGCCATCCAATTACATTAGATAGGATAACAACTATAAGGGATGTAAATGGTCATGCTTTGGGGCATAAGCTGACCACTTGCCTAAAGGAAGTAAGAAGAAACTTCCCCTATGGGCAAGTTGTTGCATAATTGCATTATGAGGATTTTATTTCACTATCTTCAGAAACCTCTGGTGCAGGCCACTAGAGAGGATGCAGAACTAGGGGGAGGATAGGTCTGGTCCGGTGTGGCAAGTTCTGTGCTCCTAAATGTATCTGTCTGAAAATTCCTGCTCCATCTAAAACTTCACCACTGCATCTTTTATGCAAGACAGATAAAATAGTGTGTGCAGAAATGAAGACAAATGGTAGCAACAGAATATATGTAGCCTCATACTACCTGTGTTTTCTGTCCTGCATGTAACTATGCCCTCGATCCCAGGAAAAATAATTTTAGAGTGAAAAACTTACCAGTTTTTTTAAAAATCAGAAATCAAATCCATGCAACATTTTTTCCGAAGTGATTAGATCTGGATCGTGTGATCCCATCCTGCTTGAGGTGTTGTATCTTTCTGTTTCTGAGAAGGCAAAAGAAAGATCAGGCTATGAGTCAGTTACTAGCAGCCAGTCATGAAATTGTAGTTCTAGAAGTAAGCAGTACACACCATGATTAACTAATTAGCTTCACTGGGGATTCTGCTGCATCCCAGAACATGAGGGGGGGAATAACCTGTTTAATTTTATTTTTTTTCAGTTCTCTCAGGCCAGACACACCACAGCCCTTTGAAACGATCTGTGTCCCTTACCCCACCCATGAATGTGCCAAACCAGCCTCTAGGACATGGATGGATGTCTCATGAGGATTTACGAGCTAGAGGACCCCAGTGCATCCCCTCCGATCACGCCCCCCTGTCTCCACAGAGCAGTGTAGCCTCTTCGGGAAGTGGTGGGAGTGAACATTTAGAAGATCAGCCTTCTGCTCGTAACACATTCCAGGAAGAAGGGAGTGGTATGAAAGGTGAGTGAAAATGAGACACCCTGCTGCCCCCGCCCCCCCAGAAACAGGCTCTGCTCCAGTTATATATGGTTGCACAGTTTGAAAAGAAAAGATGGCAAGACAGAGATAGATAGAAGGAAAAGATATTCCCCTAACTTTCCGTAAGATGACAGCTTTTCTTCATATTCATTGAGTATCCAGCCAGTGTATACTTAAGATACATTTATGTGCTCTTTGTACTAGTGCTATTAATGTTTTAATACCAGTATCTTTGCATAAAGCTTAATTTGAGTGGGGAAATAAACACTGCCTTGCAAAAGATTATTTTCATTTTAGCATTAGTTTCAGGCTAAGCAAATGAGTGCTACCCAATATCATAGGGTTAGTGTAGCAAGTGGGCATTTCTCAACACAAGGTGTGTTCTTCGCTCTGTGCCGCCTTCATGGTGTATTACAAGATGCTCTGATGTGCCAATATGCCATCTTACCGCAATTCACTTCACACCATCAGCTATTTGAAAAGCTAGGTTGTATCTCTATAGTGTGCAGCCTTAAATTCAGAATTGATCCTCTTGGGCGGGGTCGGGGTTTGTATTGTTTTGTTTTTTATTATTGTCTAAAGTAGCATAGTATAAGCTTAGCATGCCATGTGTGATTTACCATTGTGGCGTTTGATGGAACAAGAATACCACCAGGTATTTGGAGAAGTTGTGGTTGAGAAAGGATATTTATTTGAATTGAATTTCTTCTGTGCAGTTTGGTTGAATTTTCCACTACGCCTGCATTTTTAACTGCTTTTTAGCAATAAAAATAACTATCCTTTGAGAAAGGATGCCGTATTCTAAGTAACCCATTAAGGCCCCAGCAGCGGCTCCAGGCACCAGCGCTCCAAGCGCGTGCCTCGGGCAGCAAGCCGCGGGGGGCACCCTGCCGGTCCCTGCGAGGGCGGCAGTCAGGCAGCCTTCGGCAGCATGGCTGTGGGAGGTCCGCTGGTCCCACGGATTCGGCGGCAATTCGGCGGCGGGTACGCCGAATCCACAGGACCGGGGACCTCCCGCAGGCAAGCCACCGAAGGCAGCCTGCCTGCCGTGCTTTGGGCAGCAAAAAAGCTAAAGCCACCCCTGTAAGGCCCTTACCCGGCAATCAGATCTGCAGGGTGGGCCTGACTGCAGGATCAGGGCCTCAAATGTAAGGTTTTGGTTTTTTATTATATAGAATGTATTTTTAAATTATACTGTGTTTGAGAATGGCAATACTTGACTGAGCTTGACCGAATGCTGCAAACCAAATGCTTGGAAATGTCTCATGGACTCAGCCAAGATATCGCCTACTGGCCCCATTTCAGTTTCACATTAGTTCTGACATGCACCTTTTTCTGTCACTAGCCTCCATACACTAGTGTTGCTTTGGATTAGCAAATACTATTCCCTGCTGTATGAACTGGGGCAAGTCACTTCCTGCCTCTTTTTCTCTTCCACCCTTTATCTGTCTTGTCTATTTACATTATAAGCTTTTTGAGGCAGGGACTGTGTGTTAGGGCTTATTTGCACAGGGAGATTTACTGGGATAGTTACACCAGTGCAGCTCCCCATGTGGACATTCTTATTCTGGAATAAGCATTACCCATATGGCTATGTCAGTAAATTTCCCCATGTAGACAAGCCCAGTGCGATGCACACAGTGCCCAGCAAAATGGGATGCTAATCTCAGTTAGGACTTCCAGTTGTTCTTGTAATATAAACACTATGTAATAATCAAATACAGCATGTACTAAGGAGCCTAGAGTGATCAGTGTGGAGCAGCTAATCAGAATCAACAGAGGCGTGTCCCTTTATTGATTCCTCTAGGAGTTGTGCTGCCATTAGCCAAGCCCAGGACACTTGAGGAAAATACAGTGGTGTAGTACTTTTCATTTGTCCGTATTGAATTTCATCCTGTTTATTTCAGACCATTTCTTCAGTTTGTCGAGATCATTTCTAAACCTGTCCTCCAAAGTGCTTGCAACCCCTCTCAGCTTGGTATTGTTTGCAAATTTTATAATTCTCTCTATGCCATTATCCAAATAATGTATGAAGATATTGAATAGAACAGATCCATGACAGAGCGTGGTGGGACCCCACTCGATATGCCCTTCCAACTTGACTGTGAACCATTGATAACGACTCTCTGAGTGTGGTTTACCAACCAGTTGTGCACCCACCTTATAGTAGGTTCGTGGAGACTATATTTCTCTGGTTTGTTTATGAGAAAGTCATGTGAGACAGTATCAAGAGCCTTACTTAAGTCGAGATATCTCACATCTACTGCTTCCCTCCTATCCACAAGGCTTGTTACCCAGTCAAAAAGGGATATTAGGTTGGTTTGACATGATTTGTTCTTGACAAATTCATGTTGTCTTTTACTTCTCACCTTATTATATTCTAGGTGCTTACAAATCAATTGTTTGATTATTTGTTCCATTGTTTTCCAGGTACCAAAGTTAAGCTGACTGGTCTACAATTCCCTGGGTTGTTCTTTTTCACCCTTTTATAGATAGGTACTATATTTGCCCTTTTCCTGGCCTCTGGGATCTCTCCCATCTGCCTCTCAAAGATTATCACTGATAGCTCAGAGATCTCTTCAGCCAGTTCCTTAAGTATTCTAGGATGTATTGCATTAGCCCCTGCCAACTTGAAGACCTCTAACTTGTCTCAATAATTCTTAACTTGTTCTTTCCCTATTTTAGTTATTTATATATGTATGTAGTATAAAGACAAAGGGGCAGAAATTGCTTCATCTTTCTCCACCCATCATCTTCATCATTGTTTTGCACCATCAACGTGCCCAGCATTGTCTGGTACACAAAAATAAAGAAATTCCCTTCTCCAAAGAGAAGCAGACTTAGGGAAAGGAAACTCATTTCCCCTCTCCTTTTTTCAAAGCAAACATTATTGACGAGACTGTTTGTCAGCAAGTACAACCACTGGATTCCGCACTGACCAAGAATAAATATGTACACTTTCAACTCCTTGCTTCCTTGCCTAGTTCGTCCAAGGTCCTCTCCTAGAACGGTCTAGGAACAAAGTTGTTCTTGCTTTCAGCCAGGATGTTCAGTTTCCTTTGTTTCATGGCGATTGCTTAACAGAGTAAATGTACCCGTTCGCTCTTTCCTTTCTTCAGCCTGTTGCCTCCCAGCTTCCTCAACTACAGCAGCAGGGAGATGGTGTTTTAAACATCGGCTTCTGGTTCTGCTATACTCTTGAACTGTTATATGACACTAGAGCTCATCATCAGGCTGCAGCAAAACATAGACCAATAAAAACAATAATATGGAGGACAGGAAGCTCCGTGTATGGATATTTTGTCCGGAATCTCACCAACCATACATTGGGAGCTGCCAAAAATACTGTAGTGGTTTGAGAACTGCTGTTCAAAAGTTCTGTAACTTTCTGCACTTTCAGATCTACCTATCCTGATGTTGGGGTTCCATCTTTCATCATGTTAGTGCCAGGCAGTGGCTCTAGTGGTTGTCACTAGGAACTGGATATTTTGCAGTATCTCCCAAGTTCCGTAGTCTCTGAGTTTTGTGTGCAGGCAGTCTCAGTGCAGGAGGCTATGATTGCCAGTTCTCCTGTGCACTCTAGACATGTTCTGAAATGGACATCAAAAAGAGAAGTCAAGATTCTGAGTTACAATGCTAACATTTTGATCATGTTTTTGATGGAACTCAATATTGGGCTGGATCCTCAGCTGATGCAAACCAATGTTCTCCATTATCCTCTCATCTAAGCTATCAGATTATGGACTGCTACAATGTGTAACTGAGCTGGCAGCATGAAGTCTACCCCCTAAGAATTAGAAAAATTAAGTGGATTAGCATCAGCAACGTACAATGAGATGAATTTTCTATGTCTAGCGTTCCATTACCAGCCCAATCCTGCAACCCAAACTCACAGGAGTGAGCTTTGTTCACATAAGTAGCAGTGAAGCTGGTGGAACTGTCCATGTGAGTAAGGGTTGCTTGTGTGTGTCAGGGTTTCAGGACTGGATCCCGGCACATTGCAGAGATGTCCGTTTCGTAGTCGAGTATAATAAAAATGAGGCGTTGTGAGTGGCTTTGAAATTCTGAAAAGACAGAGTTTTAAGATGCAGCTGCAAATAATTGGGGGCGGAGATAGCTCAGTGGTTTGAGCATTGGCCTGCTAAACTCAGGGTTGTGAGTTCAATCCTTGAGGGGGCCATTTAGAGATCTGGGGCAAAATCTGTCAGGGACAGTACTTGGTCCTGCTGTGAAGGCAGGGGACTGGACTCAACTGAACTCCATGACCTTGCAAGGTCCCTTCCAGTTCTATGAGAAAGGTATATCTCCATATATGAATTGATTCAGCTGCAAAAGTAGTGCAAGTGAGAGTCACTAATTTAGCCCCATAATGTAATATCTTCCACCCAGTTCCCTTCCCGTGCAGTAGACCTTGCCTTCCAGCTAAAGGAAGGTGTGGCCGGTTCTGAAACTACATGCTGTGAGCCAAACTTTGCTTTTAGATATATTGGTGCAAATCCAGGGTCTCTCCTGAATTACTTTAGTTTATACCATAGCATTATCTTACCTTTGCTGTAGCAGTCAGCGGAGTTACTCTGGATTTATACTGATGTATCTGAGGGTAGGTCTACACTTCAAATCTCTGCCAGCATACCTATGAGTTTGTCTACACTGCAATTAAACACCTGTGGCTGATTTGGGCTCCCGGGGCTCAGGCTGTGGCGCTGATCAATAGTGGTGTAGACATTGGGACTCAGGCTGGGACCCCCTGAGCATCTACACTACAATTAAACAGCCTCATAGCCCGTGATTAATGTCCATGGGTGTTTAATGGCAATGTAGACATACCCTATCTGTCTATCTTAGGGTTTTCTACTGATGCCCATTTGAGTACCTTCCATGTAAAATCAATAGCAAAAGTGAAGTCTCTAGTGGATTTTATGGAGTCTCTGGCACCTCTCCCTTTACAGGCCCTAAACTCTGCTTGGGGTTGGATGGGGGGG